TTTTCAAACAAAGGGGCTCCAATTAGGAGTATTTTTCTTACGAAAAATCTTAAATCTTAGTAGATGGACCGTCCCTTTATCTGGTGTGTTTTGCTAATAAGAGTGAAGCCTCACAAACATGGGGAACATGTGACCTCAGCACAGACAGGACCTTTAAACCTGGAACCCTTTCAGTCCCAGGGGACACAGTTCTGGCCATCATTACAAGTTTGAAATATCAAATATCTTCAATCAAGATATGAAAGTAAATGTGTTGATTGTATTAAAGGTTTCACTTCTCAGTTCTTATCTGACAGCTCCATCAGGTTTAGTGGGGTTCCCTTAAATAAAACGGCTGAAAACAAGCTGAGGCTGAGGCTGCTACATCATATTTACATATCACTTAGTTGGCAATAAATAATAATAATAATCTAATTTGACATAAATAATAATCTGCAAAGCAGAGGGACCAAATAAGAGCATGTATTTATTCTTTAGAAACAATGTAAACCAGAGAATTGGTGGTTGAATATTTAACTCTTCCACCTGAATCCATTCATCTTTTTTATTATAGGGAAAAAAGCAACTTATCCTGAATAAATAACTGACCCAACTTGTTCAGTTTATCTTTCTCCTTTCAGTTAAATATTTGTGCCGACAGAATAGACTGAATTGACCCCAAAATGCATTTTTTTATTCCAAGCAAAAGGTTGAAATGAAGCTGCTGGTTGCAGCCAGCGGGTTTCCCTTCAGAAAAACGCCTTTTCGCCTCCTTTCTGTCCCGTCGAGGCCACCGTACGGCGCTCCCCGATGACGTCACGTCCAGCAGGGAAGACCCACAAGTGGGTGTAGGTGTCGGGGCTTGTTTTTAACATCAGTGGCCATGAGGTAATTGAGCTAAACTGCAAAATAACGGCGGGACTTTTAAGACAGTTCATTCCCCGGTAGATAAAACCAGCAGCCGTTGGAAAAACTGTTTAAACGGCTCTGCCGAAACCGGAAGTTAGGACTTGAATGTCAAACTACGGAGGCAGGTTAGCTAGCCATTTTTACCTGCACCTCCTAGCGTTTGTAGTTTGTTTATCTGTCAAATCCGGGAGTTATTTCCGTCTCCTCGAGGGCCTCTTTCGGCAGGATGTAGCGGGATTTCTCTGCGTTTTTCCCGAAGCGAAGCCCGGTGTTTACCCCCCGAAGCTAACCCGGGGTGCGCGCGCAGCTTCCGGCGCCATGGCGG